CCACACTACCACTATTATTTTTTAAATATATAATACTTATAAGTTCCAAAATTATATCTGAAATATATAGCTTTTTTTTAAGTTTGTCGTATAAATGTTGTAGTATTCTACGTGGATTAATTTTTATTTTGCTACAGTAATAAGATGGATTGATTAACATTACGGTTTAATAAGAGCTTAACACCTAAATACTCGTGGTTATGTGATACTACCTCCTTCCCAAATTGATCATCATGTAATATAATTCAAAATTTCTCAAATTGATCACCATATAACTATATGGATACGGATTCCATCGGAATACAATTAATGCAGTATGGGAGAATATGCACATGCTAGGGTGTAATTGGTATGGGGTTTTAATTGATGCATGCATTGCGGAAGAATGTGCATGGTGTCTTGATTAATGTGACTTAAATTGTCCTTATTTTTGGTGCATAATCTTATATGATAATTAATTTGAGAAGAAGGGAGTACATGTTAAAGTTCATGTGGGTTTTTACAAATTAAACATAAATCATAGTATCCGGGGTTTTGTGTAAATAGCAGCATTTGGTAGGGTATGCATTCCGTACATGATATGTGCAAACATTGGAGATATTAAATTGAACAGGGTCGTCTCCACTCTCCAACTCTCCATCAGATTCCAACCAAAGAGCATCCACCGCCTCCATTAGGTGTGATCTTGGGTCATCGATGATGATTAAAGATCAAAGACGAAATGTGAAGGGAGCCTTTTATTGCATTAAAAATACTACGTGAAGCGACAAAAGATAGATTAACTTAAACAAAGCACCGCCCAATTAAGACAATCATGTCCCAAACAACTTCGTATAGTATCCCCGCTGGCAGTGGACTCGCTGCTGGTCAATCGCTGTCTTTTAGCTACGAATCCTGGATTTTGTGCATTAGTGCACCTTCAAACCAATGAGCTTTGCCATCGCAAAACTTGTGGCCGTCAACGGATTTCTGCCCTTTGCTAGGTGCCCAGGTAGCTGTACACTACTGTACAAACACCATAAACTCGCATGAAGCATGTTGAGCCCCACCTCTATGCTCTTTTTTTTTTTTTTGGGTAGTAGTAGCATTTGGTTTCTGTCACGATGTCATTATAAAGTTATACGAGGACATGAGCATGATCCTTTTTGGGGGATCTCGAAGCTTTTCTTTAACCTCTTTGCTCCAATGAGAGAGCAGTAGAGCACAAGATCTGAGATACCTTATCCCCGTTTTTAAAACTGACAGCGTTGAACAAGTTATACCAACTTTGACTGTTTTTTTAAGATAATGAAATAAAATTCTGGTATTTTGCTCAACGAGTTATATCTAAATATTACACAAATTCACTCAATAATAATGGCACATCAACAAGTCTTATAAAACACACCTAGATAAACTGAAGCAAACACAAATTAATGATCGCCAACACCTAAATAAACCTCTTAATTGTTGAATCCTGTATATGAATCTTCATTTGAAGTTGGCGAAAAACTGCATTACCTTTTACTCAAGTTCGTGACATGCAATTTTTGTTTGCCTGGTATCATCGTCACACTTTTATAATTGAGACCAGAACCGGAGTCAGTACATTGCCCTGAGAAGAACATGCATATAAGATATAAATGATGATTTGTCAAAAACTATATAATTTCTGCTCAATCATAAAGCCCAACGGATGCTCCTACGAGAATAAGTTTGCTGGTTTTTTTTATCAATACCCACAAGTCAATTTCTAATATATGAGATATACTATGTGAAGAATACAAACCAGAGAAATATGTATTGCTCTTCAAAAAAATTTTTGCATAATGACACTTCAAGAATAAATGATGGATAGTCTTATTTTTCATATAGAAATAACATCTCATACTACTATTACATTTTCTCCGAGCCAAATTATTCTTTGTTAATACTATCCTTTAAACATTTATCACATAAAATTTTAATTTTAAAAGGCATCTTCGTAAGTAGCATGAGTTATGCAGAACTATGAAAGTAGTACGATGCAAAACAAAAAGAATCTCCGCAGAAGGCAGATGAATAAGAATAATATAAAATATTTAAGGAATGACATAACGGTATCCGGTCTAGTGGCAAATTTTTTTGGCAAAAGATTTGGCATTTAAGTTTTGCTAGTTCGTATTTAGATGTATGGTAAAGTTTTGTCATTTTAATAGTAAAGATAGAGAGAGCACGGCTCCCAACACACTTTTTTAGTAAAATTTACTACTCTATACTACCAAATGATAAATGCCAAATTGCCGTGTTTAAATCCATTTTGGTAAAAAATGCTCCAACACAGCAAAATTTTTGCCATTTTAGAAAAACTAAACATGGCCTTAAGTCATACATTCCCGAGTTTTTCTCCATAAAAAACACAAGAACAGAACAACATAAAATATTTTTGAACAAATTTGAGTATTAAAATCAACCTTGTCAATTACTCTTACTGTTTTAAATTATAAATTGTTTTGACTTTTTTTCTAGTCAAACATTTTTTAAGTTTGTCCAAGTTTATAAAAAATATAATATTATTTTCTAAAAAAACATATTACCATAATATATTGAATGCTATACGTAATGAAACTAATTTAGTGGGGTAGATATTGTTAATTTTTTTTCTATAAACAAACCTAAAGACACTAGACTAGAAAAAGATAAACAACTTATAATATGAAATGGAAGGAGTACTAAAAAGAGGTGGGAATACTTGTTTGGTGCAATTTTTCATTTTTAATCACTTCATTTAATTTGTTGGTTAAAATAAATTTGTATTTTCTCTGTTTGCACCGCTATACTAATTTCTCTCTTTTTTAAATTTGCCGCGATTATTAATTTTCATTCTCTCCTCTGCCATGGATGTACTGAACCGGACGGATAGATTTGATTGGCTACGAGGGACAATTTGGCAACATTAAATAAGGAAAAAAATTGCTGAGATGCAACTTGACATTAATTGAATTATGCACTATCGACTAAAGAAAAGTCTTACCTAATAAAACAGCCAATGCCCGATTGCAGAATAATTGAGTGAGCAAGTATCTACTTGTATGTGGGAATCTAATTTTACTTCTGTCATATGTGCAGACAAACTATGATGCCCTATTGCCCTCTTGCTTCAAACTAAACTTAGTATGAAAAAGAAAAATCCCTACAGTTAGATCCTACTCATGCCAATAAAGCATGAAGTGACATTGTAAATTTGCATGGTTGATTTGAATAGATCTTGCAATGATTTGAATATAATCCAGTTGCATACCTGTAACCCTTTTGTTCCTCATTGGCAATGTGCCTATGGCTCTTATCCCAATTTTTGCTACCTTTGGGCCTCATACCAGGGAGAAAATGGATAGTGATATGCACTCCATTTCTAATAGAGATTTTCTTTTGGGTGTCAAGTGGCATGGTGGTACTTATTTATCTCACGTCTACTAATAATTGGTCAGACCAATTAAACTGTCAGTTAATTAAGTACTTCGTCCATTTCAAAAATATTCTGGTGATCCAACACATGAGGATGGGATAAACATTCTGAAGACGAGTGCAAATAGTCAAAAACACAGCCCGAGTTGAGCAACCAACAAGAGTCCACACCTGAATGGACCTGCCCATCATCATAACACAGCCACGAGGCCTGTGCTGATTGGCCGGATCTTTTCTTTTTCATTTCTGAAAAACTAGAATGGTTGAAACTAAAAGAAAAGGCAAAGGAACAAACGCTACGGGCTAAGGAAGGAAGCATCTGGTAAGGTATAAGAGAGCACTCGGTAGCAGGCTGCCATTTTCGTATCGTCCCCTCCTCTGATACGGACTCCGTTTTCTGAATAGTCGGCGCTACTTGTCTACATCCACCTGCTCTCATCAGGAATAAAAGGGGCTTTGCCCACAACTTATCCTCAGGATCTAATACTGCGCCACCATACGTGGAGTTTACAGATAATTCAGCCTTGATGCAAAGTACTATCCAACAGAGTTGTCACGGTATCATCGTCATCTACTTTTCTGAGATTTGTATCAAAGTTGCCACTGTATCATCGCCATCTACTTTTGTGCGACCTGGGGATAAAAAGGAGAGAAGGAAGAAATACATATTGTACCTCAACAGGAGAGAGAACATACTTACGTACGTACATCAGCCAGAGTTGGAACTGCTACCACCTGTTGCTATCCAAAACAGAGAATCGTTGCTCCAAATGCAAATGATTTCATTTTTATGATGTCAGTAATACTAACAATTAACAGAGGAACAGACTACAGAGCCCACGGCCGGCGCCACAGGGCACATCTGAACAAGCGTGGAGCCCATGTGCTGGACGATGCACACAGCCATTTATTTTTGTTCCTGAAAACCATATGCACAGCCATTAACTGTAAAGCACATATAAATACCCAAGGAAACAAACAATGTTGTTACAGATGTCATTGTATAGCATGGACGTGTTCCACTGTTGGATGAAAAAGAAGCAGCGTAACATATTACTCGGCCGCAAAATTGGAGCGGCGCGAGAAGCCCTTTCGGCAGCAGCATGCACGAGCACGACACCGAGCATCGGCCAGGCCGGCCCCAGCAAGAGCAAAGTTAAGCTCGCCCAGCCGGCAAGCAACACGGAACGCACGATCCCCTGCTCACGGGTCGAATTCGAAGCAGCAGCAGCAGCAGCAGAAGGAGAAGCTTCTTAATTCGTTCGCGTTTAACAACCCCATCCCCGTAGACGACGACGAGGAGGAGAACGATGGCATGGCATGGCATCCCTGTCGGCGTGCAGTAACACCTCACTCTGCTGCTGTCCCGACGTTAACCTCTCCCCTCACTGACGCTAAGCACACTGGCAGTCGCGTACTACACGCGGTTAGAGCGAGCTTCCATTAGCCCCCGAGAAATTAACAAAAAGCAAAAGCAGAAGGAAAAAAAAGAAAAACGTCACTCGCATCACATCACAGCACTAGCCGCTCTCTCTCTCTCTCTCTCTCTCTCTCTCTCTCTCTCTCCTCACCAGATTCTATATAAGCAGCTCGTCCAACCTTGGGAGGCACCCAGCAGCAGCCAGCTAGCTAGCTACTCCTACTCAGCAGCAGCAGCAGCTCAGGTCTCTCCAGTGTTCTTCGAGCTATACACTAGCTCTCACAGATTTTTGCTCCGACTCATCAAGCGGATTGATTCGATCGGCTGTTAGAGAGAGAAAAAAGGAGAGTTGGAGATGGTGAGCCAAGTGGTCGCCGAGGAGAAGCCGCAGCTGCTGTCCAAGAAGGCCGGGTGCAACAGCCACGGCCAGGACTCGTCCTACTTCCTGGGGTGGCAGGAGTACGAGAAAAACCCGTTCGACCCCGTCTCCAACCCTTCCGGCATCATCCAGATGGGCCTCGCCGAGAACCAGGTACGCACACGCGCGTGCCACACCTGCATGTACACACTTGTACATGTGTGTACACTGTCTCTGACGACATGGTTGCTCTGCCTTGGCTGTTGCAGCTGTCGTTCGACCTGCTTGAGGAGTGGCTGGAGAAGAACCCCCACGCGCTCGGCCTCCGGCGAGAGGGCGGCGGCGCCTCCGTCTTCCGCGAGCTCGCGCTGTTCCAGGACTACCACGGCCTCCCGGCTTTCAAAAATGTAATTAATTAAATCAACTGTACTCTGGTTCGCGTACACGGTCGTCAAAAGTTACAGTTGGCTAACCCCCCGAGCATATGCGCACGTGGATTGCACAGGCATTGGCGCGGTTCATGTCGGAGCAGAGAGGGTACAAGGTGGTGTTCGACCCCAGCAACATCGTGCTCACCGCCGGCGCCACCTCGGCTAACGAGGCGCTCATGTTCTGCCTCGCCGACCACGGCGACGCCTTCCTCATCCCCACCCCATACTACCCAGGGTACGCACTGGCACTGCCGCTGCTGCTACACCTTTTTACCATACGCGACAACGTGCATGGTGGCGCATGGCTAACGGTGGATGGATGGGTGGATGCAGGTTCGACCGCGACCTCAAGTGGCGCACCGGCGCGGAGATCGTACCCGTGCACTGCGCGAGCGCGAACGGGTTCCGGGTGACGCGCCCCGCGCTGGACGACGCGTACCGCCGCGCGCAGAAGCGCCGGCTGCGCGTCAAGGGGGTGCTGATCACCAACCCGTCCAACCCGCTCGGCACCGCGTCGCCGCGCGCCGACCTCGAGACGATCGTCGACTTCGTCGCCGCCAAGGGCATCCACCTCATCAGCGACGAGATCTACGCCGGCACGGCGTTCGCCGAGCCGCCCGCGGGCTTCGTCAGCGCGCTCGAGGTCGTGGCCGGGCGCGACGGCGGCGGCGCTGACGTGTCCGACCGCGTGCACGTCGTGTACAGCCTGTCCAAGGACCTCGGCCTCCCGGGGTTCCGCGTCGGCGCCATCTACTCCGCCAACGCCGCCGTCGTGTCCGCGGCGACCAAGATGTCCAGCTTCGGCCTCGTGTCGTCCCAGACGCAGTACCTCCTCGCGGCGCTGCTCGGCGACAGGGACTTCACCCGGAGCTACGTCGCGGAGAACAAGCGGCGGATCAAGGAGCGGCACGACCAGCTCGTGGACGGGCTCAGGGAGATCGGCATTGGGTGCCTGCCCAGCAACGCCGGCCTCTTCTGCTGGGTGGACATGAGCCACCTGATGCGGAGCCGGTCGTTCGCCGGCGAGATGGAGCTCTGGAAGAAGGTGGTGTTCGAGGTCGGCCTCAACATCTCCCCCGGGTCGTCGTGCCACTGCCGCGAGCCCGGCTGGTTCCGCGTCTGCTTCGCCAACATGTCGGCCAAGACCCTCGACGTCGCCATGCAGCGCCTCAGGTCGTTCGTCGACTCCGCCACCGGCGGCGGCGACAACGCCGCCCTCCGCCGCGCCGCCGTCCCCGTCAGGAGCGTCAGCTGCCCGCTCGCCATCAAGTGGGCGCTCCGCCTCACCCCGTCCATCGCCGACCGGAAGGCCGAGAGATAATCGCCAAGAACAAAACCACACCATGTCCATTACTATTACCAGTAGTAGCACATACTAGTACATTACTACGTCACAGTACACTATACTAGTAGCAGCAGTAGCAGATTCCTTTCGTTTCTTGTAATCTTTTGGCGCCATTTTTTTTTCCTCGGATCGAGGCGTGCATGCCCGATGGTCTCGGATGATCACATATCGATCCATTCCATCAGCCGGCATCGGATCGATCCCGTATTTTTCACTGGGAATTTTCAGTTTTCCCCCGACACTGAATTTCTCCCAGTTGTTGTAACCTATGGAAAGTATTATTGCTCGTCAATAAAAGCTAGTGCCCACCACTTGTAGTTCACGACTACCACTCCCACATTTGGGCTCGGTCGCATCCATCCATCGCGTGTTTTCGCCGCCGCTGTCATATAAAAGTCAAAACCGTTGCAGCGAAACCACTTGGGCCAATGGCGTTTTTTAACCCCCATCTGCTCCGTATTGCATGCGACCGAGGGGATTGAGAGAGGAGGAGTATATAGCACATAAATACTCGTAGTAATAACGCGGAGGTCTCCGGGCTTGACGTAACGTGGTAGTTAATGCTAAGTTGTTAATGATGCTGTTGTGTTTGCCGTCCGCGGCGGGCGGCGGCGTGCCCACATGATGGGGATGGATGGCGAGCGAATTGACGGCAGTGATGACCACTAGTCGTTGATCAAGGAAATCGCCGCGGCGAGTGTAGGCGAATTGACTTTGGAGTTGGGAGGCCGGGACGGCCAGTTGCGCCCTGCACGGTCTGGTTGGGAGCTCGATGACTCGATCGGCTCGCGGCGGGATCACGTGCCGGGCGATCTTTAGCTCGTTGATTTAGGGCATTTTTATATTGTAGCCAAAATAAACTTTATCAATTTTAGTATTGCTAAACTTTTTACAAGATGATAATATTGCTAAAATTTTGACATGATTTATTATATATTTACTAAATTTGGCAACAAACTAAACGTAGATATTTTTTAGATAATTTTACCAAAAAATGCTATGGTCGAAAATAGCATCAAAGTGAACAGGTCATTCGATTTCGGCTGTTTTCTCTTTCATCTAGGCTGTGTTTAGTTTCTGCAAAAAGTTAGAAGTTTAGAGAAAAGTTGGTAGTTTGGAAAAAAAATTAGAAGTTTATTTGTGTAGGAAAGTTTTGATGTGATGGAAAGTTGGAAGTTGAGGGTAGTTAGAGGTGAACTAAACATGGCCCTAGGGTGACTGGAATATTGGAGTAGTCCCAATTGGTTAGGAGATATAAAATCTAGCCTTTAATGCTCCGAGAAATGCTTCCGAATGATAGCGGCACACACAGTTGATTTTGTAAGGCTACTGCAATGTCAAACGGAGACTTTTTGGTTAATGTGCTCGGTAGTGAGTACTCCGTAGTACATTATTTGGTTAATAAGTGTATGTGATGATGATATTGAAAGCTGATCTGCGTGAGCTGATGTAGAACGCAGCGGAGCACTTGAAGCAAGTGGCAGTGAGTTTTTTTTTTTTTTTTTTTTTTTTTTTGCAAAGGGTTTCCTAAACTGTGATCGCGGTTACCGCGGGGTACGATAAAAGAAAAACCTCAGTAATCTCCTTAAATTTAAATAAATTTAAAAAATATTTTAAAATTTTATATGGTTTCGTACGATTTATTACGGTTACTACGCGATAACCACGCTTACCGCCAGGACATGAAAACCCCGGGCCTGGTGATTTGGGAAGCCATGCAGTGGTACTGCTGCTACTTACCAGCTCTGGAAGCCTGTAACTTGGGACTGTACATTGTCATTCGGGGTTAGCTTACTTTGTGTTCACACTATCTTGGTAAAAGAAAAAAAAAGCTGTTCGTTTGGTATCAGTGTTCAGGTGTGCTGGAGATTATTAATCGGACTGTTTAGTGTCATGGTTTGTTTTATCGCTATGTTCTTTTGTGGCATCAATATATGATGCCAGGGCTTATATATCAATTGTTAATTTGTCCCATAGAACTGTACTACCAGAGTGTGTTTAGTTCACGCTAAAACTGAAAGTTTGGTTGAAATCGGAACGATGTGACGAAAAAGTTGGAAGTTTGTGTGTGTAAAAAGAGCAATTTTACGGTCTTTGAGGAGGTACCATGAGGTACCATTTTTTCTATTGTAAATTTGGTACCTCTTGGTACCTATGTGCTATGAGGTACCAAATTTTACACTAAAATTTTGGTACCTCATGGTACTTCCTCAAGGACCGTAGAATTGCTCGTGTAAAAAAGTTTTGATGTGATGGAAAAGTTGGAAATTTGAAGAAAAAGTTTGGAACTAAACTCGACCCTAGTCATCTTGATGTATTCATCACAATCTTAGCCAGGGGCTGATTCGACGTGGATCCCCCCTACACCCACAAGATTCATGGATACCCCCGTGAGCACCTCTTTGATTTTTTTTCACCATAAATAATAAACTAAAGGTCCCTAAATGATTGGAGGTTGAAGAAACTCTATAATTGAGCCTCTCTAATTTTTTTTCCTAGATCCACCCCTAATCTTAGCATATATGTGTACGTTTCATTTCAATACCTAGTTCGCGAAATCTTTCGAAAATGTTGACTAATAGGACGAGGATAAAGAGAAAATCACCCGACATACCCATGTCAACCACCGATATGACTCATTCACTTGATAAGGTGTACACGACTCTTCCATCTTATTCAACGTTTTCCATTCGCTCAAAGTCTAGACAGTAAGGAAGAATTCCACTTATCCAATGTTTGACGCAGTAGCTGAAAATTTTTCAAAGCAAAGCTACTCGTTTCTACTTTGGGATACGACAACTAGTCAAAAATGTTTGACATGAATAACCACCTGATAGATTGCGCGTTTGCGCACTACAACTGGAAAGTAGGAAAACCGTTCTTCTTTCAATTTAGCCCTTATTTCATAGATCTTGTTTAGACAAAAATGAGACTGACAATCTCCTTCGACATGAGAAAAAAACGAAGTTAAATTACTCCTAACCCTTCCTTAGAATTTAGAGCATGTACTATGGTGTCCAATAACGGACTCTCTTTGTTGTCATGCAAGTAAATTTTATGACCTGGAAGAATAAGAGGGAAGAAAAGAGAAACATCGTTGCTACGCATGACAACAGCTCAGAATCGATTCTTAGTATTTATTAACGGAAAGTTTGTTGCATGAGGTTGGAGAAAAGGAAAGAAGTATAATAAAAAAATATTTAGTGCAATAATGATTTAGAAATTTTATTGTTTCTACCATTGTAAAAGGATAGTCTCTAGTGATATTAATTAATATAGATAGCTCATATTAGATTCTACCTTTATATATGTCCTTAGGTATCAATCCAAACAAGATCCATACATAGATCTAAAAGCATTCTCATCTCCGACGGAAAAGACGAAACATGAACATAAACGTGGAAACACTCGTAATAATTAAGCAAACTAGATTATCATCCAGAGACCAACTATCACATTCCCCTCATTTCTTTCAGGGGAACAGAGGTAAAAAAAAATAAAAAAGGAGCAAGACACCCTGTTGCTACAGTATTTTTTTCAGGTGGTACAGGAAAATCCCTTGGGTAGTGTACGTAGATGAAGCCAAGGGGGTTTGCCACCAACAGCCGCGACACATGAGGGGCAGATGGACAAACAAGGAGAGACTGGAACGGGACAATTCGCCGTTTTCGGGAGATGGGAGACGCAGCAGCTAACCGCACCGGCATGCAAACGAGGAGAGACCTGGAGATCAGAGTCTCGGAGAGGCAGGTCCGAGCACGGCACATGGGGGCTCACCCCCGGCCGTAGGCCGGCGGGGACGAGATCGACGACCGAACGAATCCACACCATTTGGATGGAAACCGGCCTGCCCCCGGGCATGGCGTGGACGCGGGTGTCTGGACCCAGAAGGGAAATTCCTTGACTCGCCCGGGACACCTCTGCACTGTCCATGCATGTGATCGATCGAGCAAGCTGCGATTTTATTGGTTGGTTTTGCTGGATAACCCCGATCTCCTGTCCTCAACATTTTGGTAGTTTGACTGAGCATGATCACACTTTGACCGTTATTACGCTATACCAAAACGAATAGCTATACTTTCTCCGTTCAAAAAAAAACACTCAACTACGAGAAAATATGACTCCTACTAGGACAATAAATATGTACTACCTTTTTCCAGATTCGTTGCTTTAGGAGGGATCACATCCACTTCTAGATTGAGTTTTTTTTGATGGAGTGAGTAGATATTACGCTTTAGCGAAGTAATTGCTATTGAATTCTAATGATATAACTATTACATTGCATGTTTAGAGTTCTAAAATTGTTGTTATGTAGAAATATACTCATCTCGCTTATGAAGAAAGAATGTGCTAGTGTAACAACGGCATAGGTCTGTCTAGCCAATTGCGTTGTGTAATAAAAACTATTTTTCTTCTAATATATTAATGTGTAAATTTTTTGCGTGTTCGAAAAAAAAAAGTGTAACTGTGGATCGATGATCGATCACTCCCATTACTCATCTTATCTTCTAGAACCATATCATGTGTCTCCACTGTGTCAATTATTTTCATGTTTCCTCCACGTACCTCGATGTGTTGTACTAACATTTCACGGGGTCCTCTGATCGCTACCAGGAGTCTAGCTATTTTGAGTTATGAAGGTGAGCTAGGTGGCTGACCAATGAAAACAGAGGGAGTATTTGCCTTTACTTGTAGTGGAAATATTAGGGTATAAATGATTGGAGTGAATGAATATGGCTTTGCACAAAGAGGGACATCTAGATAAGGTGATATATACCTTTCCTTGTACGTGTAGGGTTGCCAATATGCTGGATGCTGCCCATATAATGTCTGCATGTTTGTATGTGTTGTGATATGATTCGACAATGTTACTGTAGTCAGTACCATATATCTTGCCTTGGCACTATGGGGGTAAAAGTGATTAAGCTGACACGCAACATCGGTATTCACGGTTGAAGTGTGATCTTTATCATCTGTTTATTAGATTATCAGGTACAACTAAAATTTAAATTTAAAACTTAATTTCTAGGGTTTTATCGTGGAATGTTTTTCTGCCTTATTTTCTAAACCACAAATTAACATGCATAAAACTTTTACCAGTAAAATGTTAAGGTCACATTGTTTACCCTTTAGCTTACAAGCCGCAGCTAAAATTTAGATTTTAAAACCATATTTTAGATTTGATTTTAGCCTTTTTTTTTCCTTTACGTGGTTTATTTTTCAGCATTTGTTCTCAAATTGATAAGAGCGTGCATGTAAGTTTTATTTGTAAATTATTTCTTTGTTGTTAATAAGCTATTGTGGTATGTAACCAGTATAAAC